CCAAATGTAAAAAACTAAAACTGTTATGTTATATATTTAATGGGTTTAATGTCATATTTAAATTGTGTATTATTTTGTACAGTTTTTGTCTTAGATCGCATCATTTATTTGTATTCTCTTTTTATACAGTTTTGCAAGAGAGCCTGATTGCTCACGACATTGCTTCTCTGTCTTTGTTGTGCATATGAAAATAAATACGTTCTTGTCCGTCTTGTTTTTTCCTCCCACCAATGCAATACACAAAGATTTTCAATTTATTCCAATTTGAGTCAAAGACAAGCAGAGGATGTTTGACATTTCGGCTGGAAAAGTGACAACAAAGTCAATCAAATTATTTGCTGACACAAATCGATATGGCTCTAAGTCTTACCTCTTATGCCTTTTACTGGAAAATGACCCAGTTATGACAATATTGATCAGAACTGAAAGGATCCCATTGATCGAAATGTGCTATCAAGCAAAGGGAACACACAGACACTGAGTGAGTCCGTTTGATGTCATATTTCAGCTGCCGGTCACTGTACGTTATGTTATGATCGGATATGTTTTGCACCATGTGCTCGTGTGTCACTCGACTGACTGATGACATTGTGGGTCAGATACTTGGCTGATCAAGTGTCCTCTGTGTTTGTGGTAAATTCATGAATGGCCTCTTGTCCCACACTTCCCGCAGAAAGAGTCACATATTTGCAGGAGGAAGTGTGTGTGCGCGTAAATGTGTGTGTGTTTGCACGAGTGTGTGTGTTCACTGTACATGTTGTGAGCATTGAAACTAGATTAGCTGTTTCTGTGGAGATTAAAACGCCAAACACAGAGGGGCTGTTAAGACCCTCCTACGGTCTCTAATCCCAGCTAATGGGTGCCCCCCCCCAACCCTCTTTACACACACACACACACACACACACACACACACACACACACACACACACACACACACACACACACACACACACACACACACACACACACACACACACACACACACACACACACACACACACACACACACACACACACACACACACACACACACACACACAACAGGAAGAGGGATGAAGAAATGAGGAAGACGAGCTGAGAGGAAATAGGGGAAAGGGGCATTCCTCTCATTTCTCAACACAAAGGCCTCTTTCTGTGGAGGAGAAGTGGAAAAACAAGGGGAATAAAGAGAAAGAAAGGAGAGGAAAGATGGATCAGAGGGGAGGGAGCGGGGGCGTGAGAGGCAGATGGATGAAGATGGATTAGAAAAAGCATAATGAGAAGTACAGAGGAAGCAGAGATAGAGACAGGAACTGAAAGAGAGCAAAAGTCAGACTAATCTCATTTTGCTGGACGGACCTCCCTCCGACCCTCAGCTCTAAGTCCGGCTCCAAACGTCTCCTCAACCTTTCTCCGGGGACTGCTATCGACTCTAGAGAGCTGGCAGGACAACAGACATTCATGCTGTCCTTTTACTAAATACACTATCGCACAAATCTCCATGATAACAGGAGGACAGTCAGTCAGTCTGGCTCTTAAAGGTTACATTGTCAGACAGAGAGCAACAACTGAGTGAAAGTTCAGCACTAAAGCAGAAAGCTTACAGTCTCATACTCACTTGAGAAATCCTTCTAATTCTAGCCTGAGACATTTCTTCTATTAAACAGTAATATGATATTTCTATCTTGTCTTCTATCTGTCTTCTTAGTGTGATATCATTTAGCTCACAGGACTATTGTAAGTCGATTTGAAAACTAAGACAATGGGAAAACTAACTTTTGTCCTGGTTGCTTTCTTATTTTATTACATGTGTGTTTGACTGTTAACTTTATATTTTAAGCTTTACTTCCACACTGTCCCTTTGCTCTCGTAACGCTGTAAACGTCCCCGCTGTGGGATGGATAAGGGATTTCTGAGTCTGAATTTGCAAAAGCTGCAACCGGGAGTGCATGCATAAAAACCACACAACTTTACAAACACTCTCTGCTGAGTGCAAGGATGCCACCCACATGTTTCTACATGAAACTGTTCATGAGTTTTGCCATGGTGCAGGAATATATTAGATACTGTAGAAGTTATGCATGAGCTGCTGCTCTCTGACAAAGGGCAAAGGTCGGAGGTCTGAGGGAATTAACAAAAGAGCGACCTATAGATCTGCAGGACACAGCTAATACAAATAATGACTAAAAGCTCAAATGCTACAGTGGTAATGATAGTGGCATTTTTCAACAGCTCTTACCATCTAATCAAATCTTGGACTGGATTTTTTTTAAAACTACACTACACAAGTTTTTGAGCACAACTGTAATCATGGCAGGGATTTAAAATGGAGTTCGACACAGAAACACTGAAAGGACACAATCCAGCCACCCCCAATGTCAGAGTTTAGTCCTCATCCAAAGGGAGAATATTATTGTAATACGTTTAAATTCAATACTCAGTGTACAGATATCCAGTCTCTTTGTTTCCTGAAGTATCTGTCTTGCTATCTCTACCCTGCACTAAAATAAACTTCCATTTCCTTTTCCATGTATTCTACATCAACTGGTGAAGTGACATACATTTGCACATTTGAGAAGATTTTACAGGGTTACTTAGAAGTCACTTTCTTTTACTTTTTAAACTTTATTTAGGACCTTATTAGTTATTACTGCAGTGACGACATCTCACTGCATGTCCGAAAGTCCTGTCTTGTTGACACGGGGTCGACAACACAGGACTTTCGTCACATTAGTGTCAATCCACAATGTCAAAAAACAAACAATTATATAAAAAACCAGATCAATTAAGAAGATAACAATACATTCGTAATGTTATCTGAACAGTAATTGAGTGAATTAAGACAAAGATACAGTAAAAGTGGGTATAACAAGTATGTATATTGCTGACCGACACTTCTGCAGTTTAAAATGTAACTAAATTAGAACCAGAAATATAATCTACAGTTATCTAAAATAGCTAGCTCTTGTTTCCCTCTGTCTAAAATCAAAGAGCCATTGTTTTAAAAAATAATTATGAATAGATTTCTTCATAGTAATCTACATATGTGTCCTCTCATTTGTCAGTCTGGAGGTTGTAAAGTATAAAAGAAGCGCCAATATAAAATATCACCAGATGGTTACAGTCAACCTGAGTATTGCCAAACATGAGGAGGAAGGGGGAGGAGGAAGGGGGAGAGAAAACATTTTGCCTAAAAAACCTCCTACGCCATTCGCTCTTAACTTTCCCTCCTCCTCATCCTCCTCTTCCTCTCTCATCCTATTCCCAGTCCAGACTCTCTTTTCATCTCCCTCTCTTCTTCCTCATCCTCTCTTTTTGGATAATCTTTCTCTTCTGGGATAAATCTTTTAGCTCGTCTGTCTCTCATTAATATCTCCTCCATTCTCTCTCCTCCTCCATTCTCTCTCCTCCTCCTCCCCCTCCTCTAAGGTTCTGGACTAAATTCAAGGCAGTCCGCAGTCTAGGTGAGAAAACCCGACAATGCAAACGACAGAAAGGCAAACGAACGGAGATGTTTGTGTTGGTTAAATGACGTTGCTGCGAGAGAGAAGAGGAATTTGAGAGTAAACAGAAACCTGGTGAAAAGTATGAAAGGGACGAGCACAGCAGGGAGTAACACAGACAGTGAGAGGAACCCTCTTTGTAGGGTTGTGGGTCCGTATGAGAAGCACCACACACGTCAGATGTAAAGATTACAATGAATCTGCAACTGTTTTAATTATCGAATAATCATCATTTTAAGCAAAATGTGCAAATGGCGGACCCCTTAATGTGGAAATGTTAAGTTTTTCTTTGTCATATAGGGAAGCCATGTGAATATCTTTGGGTTTTTAAAAATGTTTCAGCCAAAACAAGACATGTGAAGGCCCCACCTTGGGATGATGGAAATGATGAAGGGCTTGGTTTCTTTTACATTTTACAAACGAAAAACAAAAGGATGTGTATCTAGCCCTTAAATAATAACACATAGATTAATAAATAATCCCCTCTATATCACCCTTTCATCACTGTCATTTTAATAAAGGACTGACTGCTCAAAAAAATATTTAAAAAATAAAATAAAATCTGGAAGAAAGCAAAAAGCTCGGGAAAAAAAATCAAACTTAAAAAATTCAAAAATCTTTAAAAAAGAATTAAAAATCTTTAAAGAAAGGCTAAAATTGCATTAAAAAAAATAATGAAAACAAATCTAAATCGCTCCCAAACATCTATAGTAAGAGTTGACAGTTGAGGAAGTCCCAGTCTCTGCCCTGAGGCACTCCGCTTTTTCTTTTTGAACTCCCCAATGTAAGAAAACATAGAAAACCAAGCTAAATGTACAGCTCAGCGCAGATCAGTACGAGGTGAGCCGCAGAAGCCATGGTGCTTTCAATATCCATGATTTCATTTGTAATACGAGCATGACACACAAAAAAAAGAAATCACATCTGACAGAAGAGTTTTAGCCGGGGAGGAAGCGAGCTAAAAACCAGTCGTGAATAATTGAACACTATAATGTTGCATAGTGCTCTATTTCATTCAATATTAATAAACACACACGGCTGCGGATGACATATCGAGATATTAAAAAGCTGAATCAGACACTCCCTGCAGACGGATTTACCCACACAGCCTGTTTGTCTGAAAACATGAATGGTCTTTTCATGTTTGAAGTCTGAAGGTGCAGACAGTGAAAGCAGACAGAAGGGAAGTATGCATCCACACACACATGTTAATCCACACACACACAAATACATCCATTCATACACAGAGCACACCCTGCACAGTGGTTCATACTTGGCATCATATTATGTAAGACATCTTGCTCCCTCCAGCCAGCATACGCCGTGATACACACACACACACACACACACACACACACACACACACACACACACACACACACACACACACACACACACACACACACACACACACACACACACACACACACACACACACACACACACACACACACACACACACACACACACAAACCCACACACAAGCGGCATGCTGGGATGCTTTCTTTTTTATCTTACCTCTGGAGGTGTGGCGTCTCTCCTTCTGTCTCCTCTTGTCTTGTATCCTCTGTTTCCTCCTGGTCACACTCTCTTCTTCTTCTTCTTCTTCTTCTTCTTCTTCTTTATTCTGTGTTTCCTGTCCACTGAGTCGTGATTTTCTCGTGTCTGTCTCTCACTGATTCTGCAGTGGTACATAAAACACACCCTTCTGAGCGCTGCCTCTCCTCCCTCCTCTCCTTCCCTCTCTGCTGCTCTCTGATTGGCTGCTTCACAGGGATGACATCAGCCCCTCTCTCTCCCTCTCTCTCTCACTTCCTTCTCCCTTGGGACCTGGTGCCCCTCCCTTCTTCTTTACCTCCGTGCTACCCCCCTCATCCTCTATTTGTACCGCTCTCCATCTCCAGCCTCTCTGTCTCTCCTCTGTTCTGGTTCTCTTACTGGGGGCTGGCTGGTAGGACTGTAATAAAATCAGAAAATGTAAATGGACTTGTAAAAATGATACATGTCACTTTGAATAAGTATTACAACGCATATGAAAGACTTGAGTTTACGATATGGGAAAAGGCGTCAACACAACACAGCATAATCCTCAGTGTAAATGTAACTCTTATGGTTTTAAACATAACACTTTCCTGGTGTTTAGGTCAAAGTCCCTGGGAAGTTTAAGTGACATATTGTAACTCTTTAATGTTTTTTTTTAACAATAAATTGTGTTATTACCGAGTGTTGACTTTGGTTCCCTTGTCCCTCTTCCCTGTCAGAAAATAACAAAAACGTGTCAGATTCCAATCTTTTAATAAAGTCATTTGGACCATAACAAATGTTTTGTCTCCTTGTCTCCCCATGTGGTGTTTTGTTCCGTTTTCCCTTTTTTTCCAGATCTAAAAACACTACTTACCTTAGCCTGCCAGAGTTTCCTGTAATGGGTCTGACCCATCAAAATACAGTATAGGTTTTCACACTCGAAATAAAACCAAACCATAGTTTAATTGTATTCAGACCTCTTTGAGGTTTTGGCTTTTTGGTCGGGACTGTGGTCAGAGAGAGGTTTCACATCCGTAAATTAGTAAGAATGAAACTAAAAGGTCAGGAAGTCTAGACCAAAAGTGGTGGTGTGAAGAGGCGCCTAGTTGCTAAATGTCAAACTTTAATTCATTAGCTAGTAATTCAGTCTGTCGGTGGGTTTGTTAGTTTGTTAGAGGTAAATCCGCTGCTGCAAACAGGGTGGATGAGAGCTGTGAGACTCGTTAAACAAAAGGAGATACTAGTGCAATCATTCTTTGTACATTTTTCAATATCTTTGAAATCTTTAATGGCTAATTTTCCTGACCACTTTTGAATGTTCTGACCATGTTAGAAAGCACGGATATTGCACTCAGACGAACCAAATCAATGTTTAAAGCCGGATGAACTCCACAGTCTGAGAGCTGCGACTGTGAAGTCACTTCAGATCGGTTTCAGTCCCATCACTCAGACAGCAGCTAACATCTTCACACACATCAATCTCCGTCTCCCTCTGCAGGCTTTTCCCGCTAAGCTCCACCTCCTCTTCTTCCTCCTCTTCCTCCTCTTGTTCAATGAAATAGAAATGCTGTTCTACCCTATCCGGACTACAAGGCCAGAGACACATAGGTGGCATTTTGTTATCTGCCAAACAGAGCAGGCAGCCAAAACAGCCCCACTCCTCCCATGAGTGTGTGTGTGTGTGTGTGTGTGTGTGTGTGTGTGTGTGTGTGTGTGTGTGTGTGTGTGTGTGTGTGTGTGTGTGTGTGTGTGTGTGTGTGTGTGTGTGTGTGTGTGTGTGTGTGTGTGTGTGTGTGTGTGTGTGTGTGTGTGTGTGTGAGATACAAAAAGAAAGAAAGTGTGTGACAGATGGACAGGGAGAGTGTCTGTGTTTAAGGGTTTCTCTTTGGCAGGAAGCTACATACGTTTGGAGCTCTGTTTCAGTGACCGGTCTTTGTGTGATGTTTGTTATACTGTATTATTATTTCCCTCAGCTGTTCCTCTTTCACTGGAATAACACAAAGCAGCAGTCAGACAATAGAGAACATGTACTGTAGCTGCTAAGCAATAGAGAAACCAAGTCCAACATGCATGAATTCATAAAAATAATTAAGATATCCAAAATCATCGCAACTCTATCAGGGGACAAACAGTTGCTGGTAACAAAAGACTAGCAATGTTTTTCACTGTCCTGAAAACAAATGTAAAGTCACAGACACAAACAATGTTTATATGCCTCAAAGACTAATTTATGTAAAGAATTTAAATGTTTACTTCTTGTACCAGTGATAAAACATATATGGTAACATGCTAATGCTAAGAAGTTGCAATGTTTGCAATGTCAGTTCAGCGCAGTAGCATGCTAACATTTGCTAATAAGTCGTAAACACACAGTAAGCTACAGCTGAGGCTAATTGTGTTGTCTTGTTTTGAGTTAAGCACATATTTTTGTTGGAACATTTTTTTTTTAAGTTGACTTTATGATAGTGTTAAAAATAAAAGTAATATTCTGCCTCAAACGAACAAAATACAACCACAAATCGTCCGATAATCTTTGACATTTCACAAAAAAACGAATAAAACCGCAACGTCAGAAATGTATGATTCTGGAACAATCCATTTTGTAATTGTTGAGATGTTACAGAGAATAATTTAACACTTTATCCTGCTTGTTACACTACAGGAAAGTTCAGGGAATCAGACAAATGTATCTTCTTGAAACCACAAATGTTCCCACAAAATCTCACGACAATCCATCCAATAGCTATTAGTTTAAATATGTCAGTCTGGACATCAACCGGCCAATCATCTGACAGAATGACACTGCACTCCACAGAGCCGCACAACAACAAGGCTAACGTAAAAAAGTGAACAAGCTCAGAGGAAAATACCAAGCACAGTGACCTTTAGAGAAAAGCTGGTTATTTCCATGTCTGCCTGAAACACTCGCTTTAATTTTCATCTTCTGATCTGCTTCTGCTCAGCAAATTGAGTTTCCTTCTCAAGCAGTTCCATTATCTCCTCCACCTCCTGCAGGTTGTGTTTGTCCCTCACTCTCCTCCACCCTTTTCCTCCATCTCCATGTCTTCCCTCACTTAAGCCTTAATTCACTTAACTTGTATGTGTGTGTGTGCGTGTGTGTGTGTGGGGGCGGGGACCGAGGGTTAAGATGCAAGTGATCGATACTGCAGATCTGGATCTTTCTCTCTCCGCTCACATGTCCTTGTCTCATGTCTAGCATTGTCTGGGACATGTCAGCAAGCGCACACACATGCACACAGACACACACACACGCACCCAAACACACACATGCACACGCACACACTCGCACCCAAACACACACATGCACACGCACACACTCACCAACCCTCCTTCTATATGGATATTTACCGTAAGTGTGACTCAGCCTGTCTGACTGGAATACAGAACACTAAGAAACTGCAGCACACACACACACACAACTTATACATATTGAAGACGAGCTGTCATCTCCGTCAGTGAGGGTGGAGTTAGAAAGAAGAGAGAGGAAGAGCAGCAGTGATGTAGAACGAGATGTGAGGATGAAATGTACAAGGGTTAACAGTTTGACTTAATTACACGTCAATAAATCCTGTAAGGCAATCAGAGCCATTAGGCTTATGAGTGCTGCGCCCGCTGCTGCCTCTATTCTCCTTGTAAAACACACACTGCTGCACACACACACACCGCTGCACTTTTATTCATTTCCTAATGCATAACCTGAAACTGAACCCTGACTAACAAGAACAACTTCCATTTCCTAACAACAAAGCAGCATTTACCTATCAATCTAAGGGTAAATACTTAATAATATAATAGTAATGCATCTAAACTGTATTTTAAGGTACATTTTGAGCAATAATCTGGTTTTCATCATTCATCAAAATCTTTGTGAATACATATACACACTGTATATATTGTAAGATACACGTTTTTACCGATTAATATATTTTAGTACTACCTGTCCATTTTTACTTAAATTATGTGGATATAAATATTTGTTTGTAACATTGAATAATTGTCACAAACCTAATGTCCCCCACAATAAATAAAGTATTGTGATTTTGATAAAGGTTAATCCTGGTCTATTATGAAGAGCAGCTACCTTTATGCTAATTTACAATCTTATACTGCAAGCAACCAGTCAGTAAAGCTAATCTTAAAGAGTAGAAAAAGATAATACAAATCCAGTTACCTCTTAAGATCTCTATTTGTCACTTTTAATCTTATCTTGTTTATTGTTGTTCAAAACAAAAGTGAAAAAACGCGGATCGCCAAAAATATCAAACTTCACAAACCCATCCTCGTAAAGCAACGCAGTTAAACCAGTAAACAAGTGACAGTGTTTTTTTAGGAGCTGCCCCCAGATATCCCTCACACAAGACTGAGTCACCTTCCTCTTTAAATACATTAAATATAATACTTGTACTCATTTATAGTATTACTGCAACAAAAAACGCCTTATAATTGTATGCCTCCGCCAACCCGTGAAGGTGCAGTTCACATCGTCTTTTATCATTTTATACATGTATGTAAAGTCATCATAAATCGGGTATGAACCCTATGGGCAAAGACGTGTTCTGTGAGGTCACCGTGACCTTGAACTGTGACCACTCAATTATAATCAGTTCATCCCAGAGTCAACGTGGGCGTTTGTGCCAAATTTGAATAAATGCCCTCAGGCCTTTCTGAGATGGGAAGGCTACGTCTCTACAAACAACCCAGAAGCATGATGCTGAGGAATAAAAGCAAACCAAAGCTGTAGCGCAGTGATGTGATATTCTTATTTAATGCTGCTTAGCATTCTTCTTCAAACTTTTAAGTCCCGTCTAAAGACCCACCTCTTTTCCCTCACTTTCGAGTCAGTCTGAGCTATGCTCTACCTAATTCTATGCTTTTATTGTCTGTCCATAGCCTTTACAGTATGTGCCTTGTATCTATTCTTATGTGTGCCTTTTATCTATTCTTATGTGTGCCTTTTATCTGTTCTTGTAATATTATATTTTGTTATAATGTTATGTTCGTTGTGAAGCACTTTGGCAAACCCTCTGTTTTTAAAATGTGCTATAGAAATAAAGTGGATTGGATTGAATTGGATTAGTCTCTGCTTTTTATGAAAAACACAAAATCATTTCTTCTGTGTGTTGCTTATGTGCCTGCAGGTATATGACGGAGTGCACACTGCCATCTACTGGTTACATTGATGTACTTCAGGTAGCATGCCTCAGTGTTTTGCACTAAACACAAAGACACTAAGGCCATAGTTTGGTGTTTAAACGCTGGTGGTAAAAGCATTCAGCTCAATATGATTCTGCTTCATTCACCAGAGTGTGAGGTTTTAATAACTGATGCTTTTGAGGTTTCATGTTTGACAATATTAATAAGAAATGTTGAACTAGAAAGTAAAGAAAGAGTTGTAGAGACAGAACAGTGTCAGTCCTAAACGCAGGCTGGCAGGAAACTCCTGAATGTGATTATTTTATTTAGTTTTTAATTGTTTTATGACCACAGGGATGAGCAGCAGTTCAGACGCATTGCAGTCAAGGAGTTACATAATAAATCTATAATCATATTATTTGTGTTTTGAGTGGAAGAAACAGAGAAGGAGGAAGTGTATTCAAGCGATAGAGGTTTATGAGAAAAAATTATGCATCTAAATATTCTTAAAGCACCATGAAGCAGAGCCACAACTAACCATTATATTTTATTAATTTTTAAACGTTTTATTTTAAAACCGTTTTTATCGAAAGATATTCTCTTTAATACATTTAATAAATAATGTTTTGTTCTGTATAGGTCTGCCCCCCTTGACAACTAAACTTTATTTTGTGTGAAAAATTATATATTATCTTAAAATAATCAAATCAATTAAATAAGAGGAAATTAAGAAGTATTTTTCTTCAGTTTTTGCCCTTTAGGTTGGAGAACTGTACTGGCTCTGATAAATAGCAACCAATCTAATTAATCATACGTTTGTTTAAAATAGGAAGCTCTCCTCTTAACACACATTGTTGGTACATATGTGGTTATGTTACAAATAGGAGCCACTTCTCAAAGGAGGTTGGAGGATAAAAAAAAACGTGTTAACGCTACTCATGCGAAATAGCTCCTGTACCTGTCAGCCCTGAGAGAGGGAGCAGGAAGCACAGAGGTTAGTGCCGAGGAAAGGTATTAGTAGAGTCTGGAGGCGGTGAAGCGTCTTCCTTTAGTTTGGCCTCAGAGCTCGCTCCAAGTTGAATCATAGAGTAGATGACATCATTGGCACGAGAGGAGGCGTTGAGTGATGAGGCGGTAACGACAGGAAATCTCAGTTCAGAGTAGACGAGTTCACTGGAATCATCTGCAGCCTGGAAGAAGAAAACAAATCAAGTTTATAACTAATGACTCAATAACCTACAGCGCACAAAAGGCCAGAAAGATGACTTTTCTTTACTCTTGTGCTCAGAAATATTATAATAATCAAGCTAAAAATGTCACATTGAATCACTCTATTACCCCCATTCACAATATGAAAACACAATAAAGGCTCTATATACCTACATATATAGGCTATACCTACATATATACACCTATATACCTAAGAGCTTTTCATTTTAACTCAAGTATAAGCCATACACCACAGACTGCCCCTTCTAGTGCCAAATGTAACTTCAGTTCCTGTGCTGCTTTCGGTCGCAGTTTACAAGGTTTATTAAAACAATTCCTGTTGATATTAATATCGTGTTTTTGAAACTTCTTCTCCGTCTCAGCGTCTACATTTAAACGGTCTGAGGACATCCTCCTCGAAACAGCTTGTGGTTTGATCTCAAGCCCACCAAGTTCCTGTTTTTAAAAGCTTGCTTACGCCTGTTGATGAACAAAATAGATGTGGTCTAAACTGTAACCTTTTAACAAACTTTTTAAGGTATATATCGTAGGTTTTTTTGGCATTAAGAGCAACTATACACACAGAACAAATACCTATATTATTAAGAATAATACAGCGCTGTTACGGCCACCGGACATCAGGGCAACCGCACAGCTCATTTACATAGAACACAGTCAACACGGAATTAACGGGACCGGGGAGGCGGCGGCCGTAACAGCGCTCTCACCAGGGAGCAACATGGTGATCAAGTTGCTTAAAACTTCATTTTCTAACTATGTATTTTGAGTGTAACTTCTGAGTAAATCTTTAATCCCCGTGAAATGTATGTGACACTTTGTTTGTTGACACCATGTCCACACCCAGGGCTTCACACCCTTTCCTGTGTTTAGCCCTGCAAAAAAAAAAAAAAGACTGCTTCCCCAAAGTAATATAAAGAATAATTTTGGAGTATAACGATAATAAAGATCTTCTGGTTAGATTAGAAAGCCGGGATCCAAACAACAGTGAATACAAGTAAAAAGAAACCACCATCTTTGTATCTGAGAGTTTATCTTACTTGGTGTTGAGAACGGGCAGCAGTGGTACCGATGGGTCCGACCAAGCTGTAGTCGTCACTGGATTTATCGTCTTTTGGTTTGGTGTATTTGGCGTAAGCAGGAGATCTGCTCTGTGTGGGCTTGTTGGTCTACAAGAGAAGACGGGTTTAGTTTGTATTCATATCAGCTAGTTTCACAAACACTAGTGATGTTTACACGTCCACACTTTCCTCACACTCACCTTTGAGACAGAAGCGTACTCTGCTTCAACAGGAAGCTCTGAAAAACATGCATCAAAAAACGCATTCAGACCACTTATGAAACATCTGGCCGAACAAAAACTGGGTCTTAATTTAACGAGACACAGATACCTGTTTTTGGAGCAATGATATTATTTTGTTGTATTATTGATATACAGTATTAGCACGTACAAAACTAATCATCACATTATCTTTTTTTTTTTTTACATGATAATGGATTGAGATTATTCAATTCATTATTTACATTAAAAGATATATCATAAAAATATAATTGGTTAATTGGCATAAAGTATTGCACCCATTTAGCTCAATATAACAGACATCTCTCTTATGCAGCTCTAAGAAACTTTTGTTTCTCTACATCGCAAAGATATTCTTCATAACTGCAATAGTCTTGTGAGTGAGTGTGTGTTTCCTGTTGCCTTGCCTTTGTGTTTCCGGGCCCTCCTGCAGAAGAACAGCCCAGCCAGAGATAACATGAAGATCTTGGCGAGCACAATCAGCCCCACATACAGCGGACCCCCTGCGGTGGGTAACACATACATATCATGATTCAATACACACATAAACAAACTCAAACACACTTGGATCAATGGTTTACCTTTGTTACTAAATAAGAACGCATTGTATATAAATCACAGTGTTACACCCTTTAGACTGCAATGGCATAGGCGCTGTAGAAAAAGCTTCACTTTGTGTTCTTCAAAACATAAAAGCTGTTGGTAAGAAGCACCTGTTGCACCCTTCCTCCATCACTTCTTCTATGTGGCATGCAGTAATGTTTTATAAACACATTACCTTTTACTTCTGCCTCATCTTCGTATAAGATCAGTTCAAAAACACCAGGTTACGTTTTGTTTAATATCTTCATAACTTGATACGATCACTGACATTAGCAATTCATACTTTAATATAATATTCAGATGAATCATCAACCTTCATGCAGTGCTTGAAGTAGAGCGTTTTTTGTGGATGTTTTGATTTTTGTTGTAATTATGTTTTGTCGAATGTTAATATTAGAGCTAAAAGGTGAGTGTGGCCACTAAGGGTAATGGAAGTGGGGAAGGGGATCTTGGCAAGATAACTTTACGACCTGGCTCGATTTGGCCTCGGTGATCCCGTAGGAAAACGTTCAGTAGTCTTTGTTTCTCTTCAGTTTCATAGTGAAGCCTAAATGATTTCACAAACATTCAAGGGACTGTGTTGTCAAACATTTTAAAAAGTACCTGAAGCTGGTGCAGCTGTTCCCTCCGTCTGCTGCTGATGGGTGGGGGTTTCAGGGGAAGAGGATGAGGATGTGAAACTTCTTAAACTGGAGCTTTGCCTCTGAGGTGTTGGGGGTGAGGAGGCTGACTGAACTTCAGTGGAAAAAGGTTGAAGAGTCCACTTTGGTTTGGAAGTGGTTGGAGCTGTGATCAACGAAGACACAAAGAAATTATGTGAAAAAATATTGGCAGTATTTTAGTAAAGATACATTTTAGAGTAAATTCTCTTGAGTATTTTATTTGGAATCGTAACATATACTGCTTATAATTAAAATTAAAATAAAGCTTTATCCATGTAACAGCTTCAGTTTATCAGGTTAAGGGGCGGGCCATCTCTAAGCGATTGACCAATCACAACAGAGCCCGCCAGCTAACCAATCAGAGCAGACTGGGCTCTGGTTTCAGACAGAGGGTGAAAAGAGGTGCTGCAGCACAGGCAGTATGAGAAAAATAAAGAGCTTTTTGAACATTAAAGCATGGAGACATGTCGCAGTAGAGACACTACATACTGATATGAACCTGACAATTAGAATAACAGGGCCCTTTAAGAATTGGACCCGTTGTTAAGTGATAAATGTTTACAGTTGTAAGATTACATATATTTGGTATTTTTGGAACCCTAAAACCTAAGCATACTTTGTCTTTCAGTAAAAACTCACCATCTTCTATGATGATATCTATCAGATCATGTGAGTTTGGAAGCCAATATCTGTCCAGACCACATATGTACCGTCCTGAGTCGGACTTCGTCAGCTTTGTGATGCCAACGCGAACGACGCGATATGACAGAAAACTATCGATATATTCAATGCTGTATCTGCCTTGTGTAGCCTTGTCACCATTCGTTTCAATGAGAATGCGTCCTTTACAGTCTGGTTTGCAGAGTAACTTCCTTTTTCCTGGAAGTAAAAAGGAGCAATGAACTGAAATATTTCCTCCTTCAGTCCCTGTAAAGACGGGGTGTCCTCCTGCAGAGACAAGACCAGTGTTTGGACCCTGCAGGGCTGTTAAAAAGAAAAGCAACAGTCACTGTCTGTGCCTCCTGTAACTAATTACAGCAAATACTGAACTACATTTACACATTGTCAAACAACAAGCTGCACAGGTAAATCACAGTCTAACAGGCATTGGATCTGTGTATATTGTTATCACATGAAACAGTTTCACAAAAGCAAGTATGACATTATTGGAAAGTCATCTTTAACTTTGTCTTTAACTTAACATATAAGACGCTATATTTAATGGCATACAACATAGTAGCAGCTCCATTACGCATTAAAATGTTTTCTGTAAAATATAAAGTTAATATGACATTAAAATAAAACATCAGCCACTGCAAAGTTTTATTTCGGACTTTATAAACACACTTACATATGTACCCATAAACAGTCAATGTCAACTGTTCATACATTCAGTCAAACTAGAAGCTGTTGCAGGTGTTACTTTTGAGTTTTCTGTCGTAAAATAACCATTAGTATTTACATTAGTTGATCACATTTTTTAAGTCAATGCAGTTCAATTTGCTGAATTAATTTTAAACCCCCTTTCTCCATGACAACCAAACAAACCATAAGATGGTTACACGTTGAAATCTCCAGAAAAAGCAAGTGAATGAACCCTGGAGTTCTAAATCTAAGAGGGCATATTGACTGATTAATCAACCCTGAAGTCACAAAAGCATGCATTTGCAGAGACTTCCTGAGAAAGATTTATTTTGGGAGCTTCTAGCAGATTTCTCTGAGAATGCTTTTTGCTAATTGTGTTCGAGAGGTAGTTTCTTGTGGGAAGTCTCAGCAGAACCAATGTGAAAACTACAAAGTGAGACTATAAAAACTAACCTGGCTATGAGAAATGTATTTGAAAGCGTATGTGTTTGCAGGATTGTTGCTGAATTTGTATCCTCATGGTTGATTGCAATTATAAAAAAACCTTTGGATGAAGGTCAAATGTAAAAAAAAGTTGTGGGTTAAAAATACATTAGGAATATGCTCATAAGTTTTTTATATTAAATACAAATAATGTGACTCATACTCATGGCTGGTCACACCTTTACCCACACAAACAAACAAACAAACAAACAAACAAACAAACAAACAAACAGCTGATGGTCACACTGGGGGAGTTTAACATTAAATACAGAAAGGAAGATGACGTTATAGAGAAATGACAGAAATACAAAGTGTACTCACTGAGGACGAAGAAGATCAAACTGTGGCAGACGTCCATGTTCGAGTCTCTGATGGTTGAACGCTGTCTCTCTTTCTTCTTCACCGGCAAACCAACACGTTTTCACTTCTCTAAACGATGGAGTCCCTGCTTAAAATAAAACACTCACAGCTGGACTCTCCTCTCTAACACCTGCATGTGTATCACGTATGGTTCCACTTTAAAACTTTGTAACTTAATGCAGCAAAATAATATATTTTGCTTTGAACATTTAAATAATTTAATGTTAAGTGTGTGGAAAAGTGTACTTTGTTTTAAGCCAAAAAAACATATTATTGTCGAACACATTTCAGAAATGTTTTATTTTTATCCCGAGAAAATTATCCAGAGTACAGAGCAGGAAGAGGTCGAATATAAAATACAATATAAAAAATAAAACTCCATAAAAATGGTACAAATCCAAATATATGTACAGTATAAAACACTACAAACAAGTCATAAGGATTATACATATGTGCGAGTGGCATCTTGTATCCCGTACTGACCACATCACCTGGTTGAAGTAATATAGTTTCATATCAATTTATTTATATTCCGCTATAATTAAACATTTCTGTAAATCAAGTCTTTAACCAAAATAGTCAACCGTAATTTGAAGCAAAAATACCCAATGCTAATCTGCTAACTTTACTAGAACAGTTTATCTTACAAAAATAACTTTAATACCATATATATATATATTGTAATAAAATCAACGTAATAAATACATTGAAGCTGTAAAAAGAGCTTTTTACATTAAATTACATATCATTTAGCTGACGCTTTAATCCAAATGGACGTACAATAAGTGCAACCAGCTTTGACCTGAAGCAAACTGTTGAAGCGGCACATTTGTGAACTAGAGCAGAGCTGGACTTATCATCACATGAGCAGGTCATTCAAAGCAGGTTTGAAATAAGTAAATGGTTAAATAATCGTACATATTCCCACCAACATCTCTCTGTTTCAGAATATTTACACGGCTGCTTAATTCACACCAGCTTCTTCTGCCAGACTGTGAGAGTTATTGGGGGTTGTTAACAGTAGAGTACAGAGGGGGCTCATCAGAGCTAGCTTCCACCTGAGGAACAGAGTAGATAACACACTCAGCGTCACCGTGGAAACTGCTGTGGGACGAGCCGACGCTGACAAATTTGATCTCGGAGTAGGCGTGTTGACTCGGGTCGTCTTCAGCCTGGAGAAAAAAACATTGCTTGATTAAATGTGTCTTTAACAACAGAACAAAACAAGCAACTGGACTTGGTTGTAAAGTTACGTCATCAAAAAAAAAAAAAAGTTGTGTTTAGGTCTTTTTTCATATTTACACTTATTATTTTACTGCAGACATTGTCCGAAGTGAATCAAATCTGGCATTTCAGTAAACATGAATAGAACGCAGCAACAGGTGCAAAAGTGAAGCCCTACGGAGCTGATGTCTTGTGATCCCAAAGTTAGAATTGTATAACTTTTATCGGTGTATTTTGTAAACTAGCTGCAGCAAAATTGTTGTAGTAATAATTGGTTTTGGCTCAATTTGTGTTTATTTGGAGATTTTACATGATGCTTGTACACTTTGTTGGTCTACAGAAGAATGTATTAATATGATGCTCAGATTTTCTCAAACTTACCTCCGGTGCAGAAGCATGTTGTGTTTCCACATGAGGTTCTGAAAAACACAACAGTACTTTGAGAAAAAGACAGTTTTTCAAACATGACATCACACATTCCCCATTTGAACCAATATTTAGGCCAACCATTAAGATATGAGTAAAACAAGATAAATAGATGTGTTTTGAGTTTGTAAACAATAGAATATACAGTATATTTAATCATTAACCACCCTGCCACATTTAAATTACTAAAGAAAATTGAATAAGAATATAAAATAAAGTTTAAATGA